CTTCTGTTCTTAACATGGAATGCATGTACACATTTGTCATCCACAAAGGTTATATTTTTTGGCTGTATACCTCAGGGCAGAAGAGAGCCCATCATACTCACTTTGTGTCAATTCAGATTTCTTCTATTAATGCTTGTTCAGAACTACTTTATGTTCTTCCTCAGCTATCAATAATAAGGGCCGATTTAAATAAACATCTTAATATAATTTATATTGCCTCTGTCCATAATGTTGAGCAAAACTTTTAAAAGTCTCATCCCGAATCCCATCATCTTACATTAATTATTTGCTGTCATACAGATGTACTAGCCAGTGGTGCTGAGCAGAAGTGATGTTGCACTGTGACAGCACTGAGGTTGCAATAGCTGCAGGTTTTGCTGAAGTGGAACCCACCTGCTTTCTCAGTGGTGTGTGTAACCTGCTGGAGGCCAAGGTGCTCACTGCGTTTTGGTTGTTGAAAGATAAAGCCTTTTCCTCCTTTCATCAGTTCTCAAAGAGATTTTAAACACACTAGAATCGTTCTTTAATCCTGGTGTAGCTTGCAAAATGCAACTGCTCTGCAACATTTGTAAAGGATTATAACCCTCTACTTCTGCTTTCTTAACAAAGCCATGTTCCTGTGATGCTTTGGAAGTAAATATATGTATCTTGAATTTCCTTATATCTGCTATTCCCCCAAAATGTGTTTGCTAAAACCTTGTTCCCATCCTTCAAATATGCTCCCTCTTTGATTTCCATGTGCATCTATCTGGTTAAAAAAACCCCACAAACCCTAAGTTAAATCCTGATGTACGTTAGTTTTGTACTATTTCAGTTATTATATTAGATTAACTTAAAAAGCCAAAAGAAAGAATTTTGTAGTTTCTGTCCTGATAATTCAAAAAGAGCCAGGGCTAGAACAAATTACTGCTACTTCTGGAAAGTCAACATTCCCAGCCTCCCAATGAGCTACAGAACTATTTCCAACTCTGTCGGGTTGCAAGAATGTGGAGTACTATGATTAACTTCCTGCCATTCTGCTCAGCCCCCTCATTTGCATTTTGGCATGATTTTAACAGCTAATTTCTCACAAACAAGTAGTGTTAGGAAGTAATGCTTCCTTCCACACAAAAGCTAGGAATTATGGCCTCCTGTTTCCAAAATAAAAAGATGTAACAATGGCCCAAAAAGCTGAAAACAAGCAGAGATAGGAAGATCATTTAAAAATCTATTTATGATTTCATGATTTGTGCACTGAAACCAAAGTACTGACTGCAGAGGCTACGGTGACCGTAATGAAGGCTGTATCAAGTGTGAATCACAATTTCATTTTTTACTTAACAACAGGATCTACTTGCAACTTTTTTTGTGCTGTGCTCAAAGAAAGCTAAGCACCAAACATCTTGCACCGCTAAGCAGTTAAGCAGAGGTAACTCAAGTAACTGTAGAACGAGATTCAAAAAGCTACTGTGTTATAAAACAAGGAAAGTATTTGGTGGTACGTATTATGCCTTGATAGTAATACATATACAAACTTAATATCCAAAATGCACGGTTCCCAGAGTAGCGTAACTTCAGAAACAACTTCCTAGTTTTCCTAAGACATGGTTGACCAAGGACCGCTGAAATTTTTACAGAACAGGTTGGTTATAATTACATGGGTATGAATAGAAAAGTTCAGTGTTTAAATCAGGTATATAGTTGTAGCCGGAGTACAGAGTAACACTGGACTGAAGCTAAAGGAGCTGTTAAATTATGTATCCCTGTCTAATGAAAAAGCTAAGATTTTCAGCACCTTCCCTAAGGTTTAATTCACGGAGAGAGATTAGACAGAAAAATTAGCCCCAAAATGAAACTTTATAAGCTATTCATTATTTATGAGCCTGTCAGAAATTCACAGATAATTCATTGCAGGAATGGTGAGGAGAGCTGATAAACATCTGCAATTATACCAGAAATGGTGGGTACTCTTGTAGACATTGTTTACATACAAAACAGGTTACAGATGTAGTGATAGACGTGCTTATCTGGACTGAAGCAAAATCTTCATTATAGTGTCTTGGATACAGTTGGGGTTCTAGCACTGCAAACAAGCTTGCTCCTTTTCTGCCTTATACACTCCAATTTGTTTTTTAATTAATGAAGCACTTAGAGCCTTGGACAACTTAAATAGCTCGCTGCCTCTGTTGATATATGATTGACAACTGCCACCTCAAATACTGCAAGTGATTGCGGTGGGAGAGGGTAAATTTTTCAACAAAAATTCAGCAGGTAACTTTTAATGAAAAAATTCCACATTTCTTTTAGCTTATCTTTATGCTTCACTCCATTTTCTGTTATTACAAAGCCGACCCACTATGCAGCAGGAAGGGACTGCCAATATGTTAACAGTACATTTCACAAGACCTCTTTCTTTAGCACACAGTAAAATCCATGAACACAGAGAAGTCTCTTTTTAAGGGACTAAGAGTGAGGCGCTACAAAAAAATATTAATTTATACTCCGTACACAAGTTGTTATCAGGTATGACAGAGGACAGCAGAACTTTTAGTATTAATCCCATAATAGACATTACTGAAAAGATTTTCACTGAAAATACACTATATTGATAATAAAAAAACAATAGATGACAGAGTATGGTACAATTTGATCTATTTTAAAGTCAAAAGTACCACTATCCAAGTGTTTCTGGGAAAGACGTATTCAGAATAGTCATGTACAGCAGGATCAGTTCTGTCAGCTACAGGGAAACCATCTGAACTTTAAGTCAGTGCATATATTTTAATTTGGTTTTTGGAACCCCTCATCAATTTGGTTTGCACATGCAGCCTTCTCATCAGTCTCTTGCTGCACACAGCTTGGAGATGAAAAAAGATCTTCCATATAAAAAGGAAAGCTTCTATTTTAAAAATGCAATATATCATTCTTCTGGCAGACATATCCAGGAATGGATTATAAGTAACAAGATGTGGAGCAACTGGTAAAATGAAGCAGCCCACAGCTGCTTATACGTTTCTAATGGAGGAAAGGATCAAAAATGTTAAATGTTTTGAGCAAACCTGGAGGGGACTCTGTCAGTCCATCCAAGCATGAATTGTTCTGCAGATGATTTTGATCAAAGAGACGTGGGTGAACTGCATTTACTTCCTGAATCAGTTAACCTGGTTTCTCTGCAGAGATACGGACTTCCAATTTGTTTTTCAGCAATCTTAAAAAGAGGAATCCCTACTGGAAACAGCTGGAGTGAGATGAAACTGTTATGTCTGAGAACAGACCTGAGTGTGTTCAGATATCCTGCTGGCATGCTAATGGCTAACAAGATTTGGATCTTAGAAAGGCGCTAGAGTCACTGTTAATAGCTGGTGAAGCCCACTTCTGCTATCAGGCTTTTGTGAGGAGGATTAAAAATGGGTTGGCAGCTCTACTAGCATGCTCTGGGTAAGACTTACTAACAGCTAAAATACATCTTGCCTGATGCACGCCTTCATCTCTGTTACTTTATCCTGTGGCAATCCTGCAGTATATTCCAATCTGAGGAAATCACCAGAGCTGTTAATAGGCTAAGTTGTAGGCAGCCACTTTAACTGCATTTTGATACTCATTTTACCAACCTGCACATGTCCTGTTGAGACCACAAGAGATCAGGGAAAATGTACAGACTATGAACTGTAAGAGCATGTGGGATTCAAAAACTGCTGTGTTTTCATCCTCAGCAATAGAATTGTTTGCCTAAAAAAGCAGCAACAGATGCAATCCAGTATTCCTTTTATCAATTAGCAAATGTCACCAAATGCTAGGAAGAGAGAGGAGAGTCTCATTCCCTGGAATTTACAGTTTGTGTTTCTGAGCTAAAAATGGCTTGAATCAGAAATACACTTAACTGGCTTTCTGAAGGAAAAGGAGGTGACCATCCACGCAGAATTACATAAAATCCAGAGTGTCTGTTTTCTGTCCCCTGCTTTACCTGGACCAGGTTGCCCAGAGAAGCTGTGGCTGCCCCGTCCCTGGAAGTGTTCAAGGCCAGGTTGGATGAGGTGTTGAGCAACCTGGTGTAGTGGAAGGTGTCCCTGCCCATGGCAGGGGGGTTGGAACTAGATGATCTTTGAGGTCCCTTCCAACCCAAACCATTCTATGATTCTGTGATTCTAAATTGCATAAGTTTTTTGCAAGAAGACCAGTCAATCACTTTGAATTATGCAGCATCTAGCATCATGGAGCCCTACACTTGATCAGAGTCCTCAAAAGCAACCAAAACTCATACAAGTAATTTATGTTACATGTATAATCTTGGCCAGAGAGAAAGATAGGCTTTGACATCACAAATGGCTGCACCACAGTAATAGCTAACATTAATGTTTAGACATATGTGGGGAAGAAAATTGATGTAAAAGCTGGGATACTGTGATTAGCAGTTACTGAAAGTAACATTAATTTTAGCACACGGGGCAAATTAGGAGCTAGGTTTAAGAATAGTACATAGAAAAGGATTCATTCCCATAAGGCAAAACATACTATATAATTAAGATCAAGCATTTGTTACTCTAGGCTGTATCTGCCAGAAAGAAGCAGGCATCCTGGCAAGATTTTCTAACATGCATGACCTGTGTGTTGCCAATTACTGTCTGTTTGGACTATATGTATACAAGGTGCTGCCTAATCCAGGGAGTACAGCACAGAGATAAAACAGTGAATCCTGCTTTAAGCAATGTCCGTCATCTTTATCCCTAGGATTCTGACTACCACTCTACTAAGAATGTGTAATACTCTAAATGATGAAGTCTTTATTTAAAAAACGGGTGGAATTTTTCACTGTTTCTCAGTTGTGCATGGCTGCTCCCCAGTTTGATACTCAGCTTGCCCTGCGTGCATAGATCCCCCACTGTCAGCACTGAAGACAGACACTGCTCTTGGAGCCACGCAGCAAATCTAGTCTGTTTTCTCTATAAGTGAAAATCCCTAGAGCACTCAGAAAAAGCAGAGGAAAGACATGCCATAGGGAGCTCAGAGCAATACTGTATCCCATGAAATCTGAAGAATGCATCTTGCTGGAAAGTACAAGCATGTCAGATTTGCAGCCTAAAGCACTTGTTTTTCCAAGCAACACACTGATTTCTCAATATTGGGTTGAACACCCATTTACTATAAAACTGACTATATTATTCTCATTTTTAAAGAGAAATAGGAGCCACTTATTTGTGAATCTCTCTATATGTACTTCAGTACACAAATTAACAAATTTTTTTTTGTAGCTTAGATTAATTTTAGAGAATTTTAAGAAATGCCAGCAAAGAAAATCTTGTCTCCTGCAAACAATGCATAGTTTATTACACAAGTTCAGGGGATTCTTTTGTATTATTCTGTAAGCCTGTTTGAACAACAGAATAGTAATAAGAATTTGCAATGTATAGTTAGTGTCTTCACTCTTAAAAATTTATACAGCTGTCTGCAGGCTATGTGATCTAAAATATTTCATGCAAAGGAGTGAAGAAAATGAAAAACCTTTTAAAAGCAGGGACAGAAGCTTGCTGCTTTTTCTTTATTTCTGGTTGATGTTCACACAGGTAAAAACTATCAGATCTTTAAATGGTAGTACAAAAGTATGCACCATAATTTGTGGAATAAAAGTCTGTAGCAAATACCAGATTAATGAATAAAAGAAGCCCCTCTTAATCTGTCTGCCTCAGTGGCTGTGCTGCTGTTGGTTTAATCATAGTCTCTTCTACAGGGTACGTATCAAGAAGTAGAAGCTCAATATAAGGTGCAGAAGCACCAACCTCTATTATATTTACCAACTGAATATCTCTATAGTGTACAAGGTCAGTCTCCCATATTTCACTGTCCTCTAGAAGAATTTTCACCACACTCCTCCGTTAAACACAGAACATTCAAACCCACCCTTCTATGCCTTTGATATTCAGTGCAGTCATGCAATCCTGCACTGTTTGTGCAAGAGGTGTTTTTAGATGCTTACTACTTCTGCTTCCTGTAACATAATAGAGCATGGAGCTAAGTCTAGAGTTGTCTTTCATCCACACTGAAGAACAGTGATATGTGATAGACTTTAAAAGAGGAAAAAAGGAGCAGAGAAATACTGTGTCCCGTACAAGTTTAGGTGTATTATAACTATGTGAATTCCAGATTGTCAGAAATAACAGGATAACTCTTCATCCTTCTGAAAGTGCTACAAGACTTTTAGTGAAAGTAGATCGGTATCTCGTGTCTGTTATAATTATTGTGCGTATGTCTCGCATGCAGTACCAGGACACTGGTTCAGCACTAGCTCTCCACTGCACCATCCTGCAGGATCTGTCTCTTCTCTAGACATCTTCTTTCCTTCTTACTGACTTGTATGGTCCAAATTAGTCTTTGAGATTCAAAACTATTTTTCCAGGAAGTGTATGGATTTAGGACACCAAGTGATTGCTTTGTTGTTTTTAAAATGCACACAAAAATGGGTTAACGGAAACAGTCTAAAAGGTCTAAAAATATCCTGACTGATTTTTTTTTCTATTCTTTCTTTTCCTTTCATCCTGAACATTGATAGGCAGCGTTTTCAGCCAAAAAACTCCTGTTCGCTATCCTGCATTACACTGTGTCATGTAAATGCATGCAGCTTAAGGCAATGTTACCTCCAGCACGCCTGCCCAGTACTCTCAGGAAGAACAGATGTATCTTTCCACCTTTTTGCTACCAATGTCACAGAGATAAGGACAGCACACATACAGAGTGTTAGTCAGAAACACCTTTCTCTTTATCGTACTATCACCCGGGTGTGTTGAGTCCAGGACACTGGGATAAAAGTACTGGCAAAGGAAGGCGCTTAAGCATTTGCTACCTAGGCTGCTTTGAATACATCTTAAGAGTTGTTGAGAGCATGAGAAGGATAGGCGGTTTCCAGGGAAAGGCAAGAGATGGAAGAGATTAAAAATGAAGAGGATGAAAAGGGCAGGGAACAAAGAGAAGGTGGCCCATACTTAACTATATCCACTCATCCATGTAACATGACAAAAGGAAGACAGTAAGACAGATATTCAGCCCATTTATCTTCTGTAATTGCCTGCATATCCATGCTGTTCTGCAGGAAACTTGCACTGTTCTTTTGCACTTACACACCCATACAGAGCTCTGGACTATTTGTAGGAATGGCACAGGCTTTAGTGAAAGCCAATCAGACTTTCCGAAGACCTTTTAGGAGGCTTCTTTCTGTATCCGCATCATTTCAAGAAGGGAAATTTATTCTTATGTTTTGTCTGTACAAGAGAGCACAATCATTGAAATAAACGTAGATGCTCACTGATATTTTCAAGATGAGAAAAAAAAAAAAAGTTATACTGTTAGCCATAGTAGATAGCTGTACTAAAAAAAACCCCAAAAAAACAAATGAACAAATCCCCAGATTTCCCACTGTTACTTGAAAGTGACTATCTGCATTAATTTTGTTAGCCATGAGAGTATTCATGTTACTCATGTGTCTGTGTTTGTTTGCTTTAAGAAAAAAAAAACACAAAGCCCATTTCGCATTTTAAGAAGCAGCATGAGATACAAAGAGATTGCTGTGTCCTTGCAAAATAGAGGGTGGGCGTAGCACATATTTAAGAAAGGTTCATCCAATAGAAGAACATACTGACACCTGATTTATATAAGACTATGGAAACTGTGTTTACTTTAACGACAAAAGCCCGCTTTGAAGTGTTGCTCCAAAACCAGTGTAGAAAAAAAGCAAAGTACATAGACAAGTTCATAACCACTATCAAGATTCTGTGTTAGGGACAAGCGATCTCAGGAATACAAATGCATTATAAGTTCACGCACTTAAACTCAGATCTTTGAGTACACAATTTAAACACAGAAGTTGCAAAATAAGCTGCAAATAATTTTTAAATAGTAGCATCTATATAAGAAATACTAAAAGCTAAAAAATACCTGAAAACTAATGTCAAGTATATGTTAATAAAGATGGGATATTTCTTTATTTTATTTGCTTTAAAGACTAGTGAACATCTGTAACTTAAAGACCAGTAATAGGTACTCGATACTTTCTTCTGAAAGATGAATTTTCAATCTAGGGTGAGTCAGCAATGATTAACGATGGATACTTTGTATTGGGATAATGACAGTTGGGAAGTATCTTTTCAGTATTTAATATTGATGAAAATACGAAATTACTGCAAAGATGAAAATTGCAAAAATACCTGAATCTTGACCTACTGTCTCGTAATCCATCCCTAAAAAAATCAAATAAGCTTCTAGGAACATTACACTTGTTTGCGAGACCCATATGGTATTTCAGAACAGCCACAGTTGGGAGCTCAACGTGCAAGGGAAAAAGCGATTGTTGTATGTAGTCTCGTAGTGGTGTTCGATCTGTTTTAATATGGGTGGAGAGAAGAAAGGGCAGCAGAAACATACAGAATAAACCCCAGATGCTAGATGGACACTTTCAGGGGCAGACTTTGATTCCTTTTGTCTTTCCTCAAGATGATGTATCTATGCCAACATTACAGTGGCATCTAGATGAGTTCAGTCAAGATCACCGTAGTTCAGAGTCAGTGCGTGCCCGCTCTGGAACTCCCTAAAGGGCTGAAAGTTGAACAGTGACATAGGGAAAATCACAGATAGAAAAAATGCTGCTTCAGCACAAGCCACTAAAACGCCTGAGCAATGAGAAGGGAAAACTGGGAAAATAAAATGAACTTCTTGAATGTGACAATAAATTCCCTGCTGAAATCTTTTTTTTTTTTTTCCCTGCAATGGTGAGGACATGCCTGTCTGACTTAGTATTAACAAGTAGATTAAGAACATTGGAAAGGCCATACTTGGTCAAATCAAACATCCATCTAGCCTGGTATCTTCTTTTACAGAGATGTTAGAGGTCTCAGAAGGAGTATAAAAGTAGAGTAAATAATATTTGCCCCAAATATTATCCCAGACTTCCAACCACTTAGGGCTTAAGGGGTTTCTGAAACAGAATTTTCTCTCTTAAGGATGTGTTATGAAGTATGCACATTAAAAAAAATAAAAATCTTGATTTCGTTCGAACATGCCACCTGCTAGCTTTGTCTGATAGCCCCTGGATCTTGTATTGGAAGAGGCAACAAATAGTTCCTCTCTATTCACCATCTCAATGACACTCAGGATTTCATAACTTGTATCCTATCTCCCCTCAGCCAGCTTCTGTCCAGGGCAGAGTCCTAGCCTACTTAGGACTCTAAGAGTCCTAAGCCTATCTTAGTTCTCCAAGATATGTGTCCAGAATCATAGAGATACTCAAGATGGAAGAAGATTTGAAGAGTGGCAGAATTTTATACTCTATGTCGTTCTCTTTTCCCTTCCTGGTAATCCCTAACAATTTGAGGAGGCAAAGCACTTTAGGAAAATCTGGAGTTTAAGCCTGCTTTAAAACATTGATGGAGTCTTTAATATGTGCTGTTCAGACTGGCACTTCTTGGATGCAGAGAAAGTGTGAACATAAGGGAAAGGCCAAAAGCAAAACCATCTAGACAGCTTCTTTTTAGGGAGGGAAGGAAGAAGAAAGAGGGTTGGGGCAAGGAATATAACAAAATCTTTAACAGATCCAATATTTAGTCAGTTCAAATCTAGAAAATGCCAGCATGTACCATCACCTGAAACTAACACAACACTTAAGCAAACCAGAGTGCTTACAACAGTGTACGTCCCAACAGTGTCTACATCCTACCTGCTGTCACTGCGCAGGGTCTCTCCATTATGAGAACTTTTATCTGCTCACTTTCTGCTGCCACATCATTTGCAGAAATCAATGGTATTGTGGCAGCATCACAACCACCGGTCTTGCAAGCACAGTTCTATAGTGCCCCTGAAATCCATGTAGGGATAAGACCATGCAGTGTCTCCTGTGGTCCTCATTAATTTCTTGGAAGCCGGAGAAGTCTTTTTTACACGTTATGCATATGTAGTTTTAGGATAAATATGGTTCAATATAGCAGTGAAACATCTTGTTTCAGGATATGGAAGTTATATAGCAGATAGATACCATTTAATTTTATAAAATGCTTGCAAATTAATAGATGCTCTAGAAAATATTCTTCAAGTCCCCTCAAACAATAAATTGCTACTCTAATATATGCTTTCTTAAGGAACCTGGAAGAAGAACCAACAGTGCACTTAGACTGCACTGGTTTTCTAACGTTGAAATTTTAAGAAAGCACATAAATGAATTATGTATTTTTGTGTGTTCTGAGTTGTTTTGGATAGTGATTCTAGGATTTGCATGAATCAAGACTGCAGAAAATGGTCTATAATTTTGATAAGTTACTGATGCTTTTCCTGTCCAATTTCTCTCATCAGTGTTGCTAGTAACAATCCTTGTAGTGGAAGGGATTGCCGTTGCACAGAAGACACAAGGTACAATTTTGGTTTGATGGTTTTCTTTCAAAAAATGTAGCAGTTTTATAATTTCTAATTAAACAATGTAAGTAAAAGAAAGTGTTTGCATTCAGGTATTAATAAGTCTTGAATTACCAATATGAATTCCTGTTTTTTCTGTTTTCCCTCAATTTACTACGTTTTTTTTCCAACTGAACAAAGCCATCTAATCACAAAGAACATGAACATTCACTTATCCAGTTAAAATTCTGTAGTTTTAGACCTTAGATGTGGAAAAAAACCCACCATGGAAATTCATGTTTTCTGCATCTGACAACAAGCTTTTCAAATAATCCACCCACAAACATTTTTGAAACCTGCTGAGTGGGGAAGGCATCAGTTTCACAAACCTTATTTTCTCATATGTGGGATTAACCCACACATAGAAGAGAAGAATTCCTTGAACTGACACCTACAGAATTTCCTTGAACAATTTCTGCAGAAGAGACTAAGTTTTCACCCCCATAAATCAAAAAGTTGCCAAGATACCAGTGGAAGGTGATGTAATTTACTGGTGGCAGCTAAGGCCTGTATCAGCATGGACTCCCTCTCAAAGGTCTGCAGAGAAAAGCTGCATAAATATAAATAACATGGTGAGAGCACCCTGTGAGATTTAGGAAAAATGCAGCAGAAACCACATATGCTGTGTCTTATTCGCTCCAGTTCTGCTGATATCAAGGAGAAGGGGTCAAAGGTACTTAAGAGTGTCAGAGAGATCGTACTATTCCTAGCTCCTTTCTCCTGGGATAAGGAAATCTGAACTAGCAAAACTCCTGTGGATCGTCTAGGATGGTGCACAGGCTTAGTAAACCGCATAATCTCAGTCAAGGAACATATTTCCCTGTACAACCAGAAGACAGCCTTTGATCTTAAATGATACCTTTAGCTACCAGTGCAATCTACCTATTCCTAGTAATTTTATTAACTATCATTGCTGTATTAAATGTATTTACATATTGTAATTCATTCTGTTAATAAGCATTCTGTATTCCAACAAATTATTGCAAACAGGTATTCAATTTAAGGGCTGTGTACTTCAGTGTACTCTGGAATTAGGGCCAAAAATAGTAAAAGCTAACAAATATTTTAGATTATGTTTGCGTAGGAATGGAGAAGACATAAACCATAAAATAATGCTGCTATATTGGCAGCCACTGTGACTGTTTAAAGAAGGACATTAAAGAATCTAAACTGACTCGGATAAAAAAAATTACCTTCTTCCCTTCCCAATGACAACTGGACATATTTGATACTCAAAAACTCTGATCTCTTTAGGATATACCACATCACTAAATAAAATCTAAGATTTTCCTAGCTAGATAGTAACAACTAGCATATAAGAGGGGTTTCAACCAAAATAAATTACTTTCTTCTTTTATAGGATATGTGTTATGTCAGTGTTTTACTTCTGCAAAATCAAATTTGCCAGCCTGCAGGAAAAATTTATTTGCTCACTTTTTTTTTGCTTAAGGTGGGCAAAATATTGGAGTGAATCGCATTCCACCTACCCAGTGTGACAACTGGGTACGGACAAGTAATGGAGGACATTTTGCTTCGCCAAACTACCCTAACATGTACCCACCAAATCAAGAGTGCATCTATATCTTAGAAGGTACATGCTGTATTTCTGTTTTGCTGTGATCTTACTGTTAAATGGATAATCTTGAACTGTTAAAACTGTGTCATTTTACTATACTGTCAAATATTTTATAGCCATATCGGTAATTTAATCAATTCTGCAGTCATTTGATTGAGCAAGAAGCTAAATTTGCTCTCTGAAGAAATAACAAATTAATAGAAAATGCAAGCATTTGGGAATTACCTATATGAGATAAGACATACCCCCACAGGCAGAAAAAGCAGCATCAGATCTACTGTAGTCTGTGAAGACACAACTATTAAGATCAAAAATCATAGCTTGTTATCCTAATATCACTTCCAATGTTGCTGATAATAAACTGCAAAAGATGGTTGAAGACTATATTCTGTCTGTCTCACAAGCAGAAAATCTTTATGCTTTTATTAGTAAAAGACACATCTGACTATTATAGCACCGTATTAAAAATATAGAGATTTGTTAGCACTGGTGAGGTCACTATTAAAATTATGTGATAAGGACAAAAAAATTTCATTAACTAGAAAAAAAACACATTCCAACGAGAGTATCTTGGATAAAGGCTGCAAGACTTAGGACGCACTAATTATTTTTTCCTCTTACTAGAATGCACCCAAAACCCACTGAAGACAGCTAGAAACATTAGCTTAACCATCAGATTCATATCAATTAATTGAAATATTTCAAGTAATACGTTTCAGTGAGTTGTTGTTTGTACAATGTAGTGCTGGTTCATAGACACCCTCATTTTTGCTTGTGTGCATGCGCATCCGAAGTTTTGCATCTTCCCTACAGTGAAGGCACTGGAGAGCAGATATCCTGTCCAGCTTCAGAGTTTGGACGTACCAGATCCATTGCTAGATCTCCCTTGTGCAAGGCAGTTTCCGTGAGGCACGGAATCAGTTTCCACACCTCTGTCCTTACCGTCCTTTTACAGAAACATTATGGGTACCTGGGCGAGACAGAGCCTCTACGATTTCTAGTGAAGATATGGTCTCTCCTGCAGACCGCTGCCAGTATGTGCAAACAGCTAAGAATATTTTTAACTCGGGTGTAAGTAAGCCATAAGGTCTAAACAGAGTGTGAGAGACATAGGAGTAAATCCTTTTTGCATTCAGAAGCAGCAGACAGCATGTGATTCTTTAATGCTGTCACTGCAGATACCAATTAGTATCTAAGAGTTCGTATAGCTCAATAGATTACAAGAACAAGAAACACTAAAGCTACTCATACAGTACAAAATCACTGTTCCAAACTACAGCTGTAAAAAAAAGTCCAATCACAAAGTAGCCGTAGCTGCATCTCATCAGGATTTAGGGGTCTGAGCCAAATCCTGATGTTAGGCTGTCGGTGGTTCAGATTTACCAACATCTGTGATCACCTGCATATTATTAATATATGTGAAGCATTTACACTTCTCTGAATATTCTAATAAAAGATGTCTCCTGCCAAAGGATCTGCAAATTTGAGCTTAATGTTTAGGAAATATACCAGTGAGTAGTTCTTTATATCCTTTTCTTTTCCATTCTTTTCTGCATCCCTCAATGTTTTGTCCTCTTTTATGTACTTTGCTTTCACAGAACACCGTTTTTAATTTATGTCTTAATATTAAAACTTGTTTGAATACCTTTGCATGTATGTTAATATCTGTTACATGTGCTGCATTAAATTTGTCGTATCTGAATGTTCAACAATAAGATCAGCAAGCAAAAAAATGCCATGAAAAATATCTTCTACACAGTCATTTTAAAAATTTTTATTACAGTGTATCTGAGTTTTTGTAGCAGACTGCCAGATGTAGTTTGAGAAGTTTCCAGTCTCTCCTTTAACTTGCTGGATTGGAGGCCTGTCTTTTCATTATTTCATGTCTTCATGTGTTTGGTTTTTTTTTTATATAGGTCTTCATTTAATCTTTTTCTCAATTTTTTATGTCTAGCTGCTCCACGACAAAGAATTGAGTTGACCTTTGATGAACCTTATTACATAGAACCTTCATTTGAATGTCGGTTTGATCACCTGGAGGTTCGAGATGGACCTTTTGGTTTCTCCCCTCTCATTAATCGTTACTGTGGTCTGAAAAGTCCTGCACTAATTAGATCAACAGGGAGATTTATGTGGATCAAGTTTACTTCTGATGAGGAGCTGGAAGGAAAGGGATTTCAAGCAAAGTACTCATTTATACCAGGTAAAGATGCCTAAAGTTCCGAGCTAATGACCGTCTGCTCCCATTGAACTCTGTGGATGTGTTTATGCCGGCAGGCTAGAGCTGTATTTCCTAAGTGCTTATGAAGGCAAAGTGACAGTGCCTCAGTCCTGCTAATCCTACAGCATACTTGGCTAGGATCACTTTGGAAGATTGACTGAAGGGAATTACAGATCTGTAGTTTGCTAGTGAAGAAGTCAGCTGATCTTGTTCATACTGAAGGCTTTAGCAACTTCCCTCTTTGTTACTCTAACTTACACCAGTTTCACCAGTAGTAGAATGGAAAGAGCATTTATGTAGATAAACAGCTCACACTTTCAACAGCCTATCTTCTAGGAATATAAGGCACTACGACGGAAACACTTGAAGCAAATGTATAATAGCATTTCCAGCCAGATGCAAAACCTTTTAAATCTCCATTCTTCATCATATTTCCAGAGGAAATATCGATACAGTGCAAGCATCAGCTCTCAGTGTAACTAGATTCCCTCAAACCGCAGGCTCAGACAATAGAATTGTTCTTTGCTCAAAATACTGTGTAGTTTACAGGGTACGAAGGAGAGGATAATATGCTGACGCCTTTAGACAAAAAGTACATCTGCTCTGCGGGGCCACTTAAAGCTGGCAGGACATTCTTTTTACAAGAAAATTTGTCCTGATGTCCTTGTGCAGTGCTTGACTGCTGTACTTCATAGATACTATACGTGTAGTTATCAGGATTTTATTGTCCTTTGGGACAACAGACAGTATACAAATGTCAGCTCTGTTACTGCTACTATAAATGTATACATAGGCATAACTTTTTGGTGTTGTCTTTGCCCAACTGGTCTTTACCCCTACAGTGCATGAAAACACTATACGGAATTATATATTACTGCTTATAGAACTGTATACTTTGCTAGGATTTAGACTTGGAAACTCTTCAGATTAACGCAGTGACCAGTCCTCTGGGAATAAGGTGCTAAAATGTTTTCACAGGGACAGTACTTAGCATTTTGCTAAGTCCATTGCAAAGCCATTTCATTAACATCACTTTAAAAACTAACAGCCTAGTTCCAGGCTGAGACTTTAAATAGACATTTAAACTCTACACTATTTTCATAATAGCTTGCAGCAACTGAAGGACTGACATTTTTCTTTCCTTTTCTTTCCTCTGCATTTACATAGTGTGGTAGAATATTTTGGCATTATGAAAATGGAAGGTGACATGTGTGTACACCCCACTTTATAAAAAAAAATCAGTTCACATGAAAGGTTGTAAATCTGTTGCAGAATTTTGCATACAGTGGTCAGAGATTTCACTACAGGTAACTAAAACAGAGAAGGGCAAAGGAGGCATTTTCTCAACTGTGCAGAGTCTTAAGGTCAGGACTGAGGCATTATAGGGATGGTGATAAACTCCCTATACAGAAAAACATTTAGAGGACCACAGAAAGAGCCAAAATCTGGAACTTCATTTGGAAAATAATTTTGTACAACACAGACATGAACTTTTTCATGAAGTAGTGCTCTCTTTGTATAGATTAACACTTCACACACATACACACGCTATGATTTGCATGATTTCTGTGGTGATTTTCTATGCCACAGCTCTGACTGGGTGCATCTTGTGAGTTTCTGTGCTGATTTATGAAGAATCACTAACCTGATCACTGAAATGTAAGCCTTGGACATCTGAGCCCATTGCAGACTCTTTTTTTTAGCCAAGCCCTAGTCCCAGTGAAGTCAAGTACCATCAGTTAACCATTATGACAAAGCATATTCCTAACTCGCTAGTAGTATGCACACAGTATATAGTACAGATACATACACTACCTACACATCACATTTAGAAGAACAATCAAGGTGAAATTCTGCCTTCATAAACAATGTCTGGAACTGTGCTGCCTGGCCTAATAGAAGAGGCTTGGGTACCCAAGGAAAAAGTGTCTTTAGTATTGAACTGTCCTTCTTTGTGGTTTTTATTAATAACAATTAGCAATTTCAAAGTGTTGATGTATTCTACTAAACTTGAAATTGTTCAGAACTAGGCAGACAGCAATCTGATAAAAACGATGCACACAGAAAGATCCCCTGTACTCTTGTGAGGCTCCAGTGATTTCAGTGAAAACTGGCATAGTTAAATTCAGAATGTAATGCAGGAACAAAATAGCGAATAGTAATTTTTGGTGGTGTGCTGGAAGTGTGAGCTGTCAGTATAGAATTATCTTACTCAGATAAGGTCAATCTTTGTGGAATAATGTTATCATCTAAAAAAATTTGTCTTTGTAGCCTTCAAACAATTCAGTAAACTTTCTGGCAATTTTTATTGTGACATAATAAAAAATGGACATAATCTTTAGATTATACTAAACCTTGACATTATTCTCAAGCATTGATAGCCCCTGTGATTCATGACTTCTTTCTATTACAGATCCTGACTTCACTTACCTAGGAGGTATTTTAAATCCCATCCCAGGTCTAGTATTACAATAACAATTTCTTTATACATGAAATTTTAAATTGATATCATATTGCATTTGACAACAAGGTATGTGTTCTCCCTAGACTGCCAATTTGAGCTCTCAGGAGCTGATGGAATAGTACGTTCCAGTCAAGTAGAACAAGAAGGAAAAACAAAACCAGGACAAGCAGTTGACTGCATATGGACAATTAAAGCTACTCCAAATGCGAAGGTGGGTTTCATTCATATCATTCAGCATATAATGGGTTTCCAAGTCATTAGTAACAGGTAATAGTCACTAGCTGTAATTTGCATAATGTCTCACTTTCACGGAAATGAATTATGTATCAGTAGCTTAGAAAATCCAGATAGAGCATTGTTTCTGAAATTAAACTTACACAGCAAGTCCTCAGTGTTGTCTTCCTGTTATTTGAAACTTAAAATACAAAATAACTGTGAAAACTGTTTAAGCAATAATTTTCAAGGGCATTTGACTTGGACTCTGGTTTTATTTTGGAAGACTGCAGGCAATGATGCTGGCTAACAGCTTTGATAAATTCCAGTACTCTTGCTGCATGGTTTAAAATTTAGCCTTAGTGTTTCTTTTGGAGAATTTGGTTCTGTTCAAAGTCAACAGAATTATCTACGTGCTCCTCCTCAGTCTAATTCACAATCCAGCAACTTAAAACTCACTTTCGTCAGCAGTCTGAGCTAAAATGAAAGGCTTCACCTGAAAATAGCTGAGGAATTATCACTCTTTCTCTTCTGACTTAGCTATGGGATAACACCCTCTTAAAGTGACACAAAATTTGCTAGAGCTTCTCTGCCCGAGTTCTAAAGGGGCATATTAGTTGCTCGACCCAAAAATCAGCAGTAGTTATCTAGGTACCTAATGTTTATGATTGTGCCTGCAGAACTAGAGATTGGTTATGAAAATATCACTATCTTATGCTTATTAAAAACAACGTGAGTTTTATTGTTGGGTGGAGAGAAGGATAAAATCCTATTTGTAATTCCGAAATACAATAGCTATAGCCTGTGTAAAAAAAAAAACGAAACAGCTGTATAACTCAGAATCATACACTTGTTAGTTACTTGTGAGTTGCACTGAGGAATATATTTTTTTCTTTATATAGCATACATATCCATATTTTTGCTTCTGTGTGTATATTAGAGCACATACCACTGCTTGCATGTACATAAAAATTAAAAAACGTTTTTAAGCAGTAGCTGTCAAGATGACAAACCCATGCTATGCCTTCTTACATACTCCTAATAGTTAACTAACCAGCCCTATTCACCAACTTCCAAATCACTTCTAAAACAGCAGCCTAAGAGATGGTAATAAGAGGACAAGACGAGAAAGAAACTAAAACTCCATTAATATATTTGAGCCTTTGAGGAAGTGACTCAACTCCCAAGAGTCCTATACTAGTCTAAGTAATAGCAGCAGTTCTTCCAGAAACAATAATAAAACCATTTTCTCTCTACATTGCCACTTGAGTGCACTGGGTCTTATGCTTAAGTATTTTAATAAATTATTGAATGTTGCCAGAAGGCAGAGTTATAGTTGGATCAGTCCTGAGATTAGATCATCATTGTAAATTATTGAGTTAAAACATTATAGAAAAAGAGTTCTTAGTATTCTGACAGTGGTTTTGCAAGGTTCAATTCTGGCAGAATTATGATTATAAAATCCATTAAATCTGATATGATGCAGTCTCTTAAGAAAAACAAGCATAGACATTTTTAAATTCCGCAATTTGATTTTCTAATGAAAATAAATTTTTTAAACTGACATGACTGCAACAATGAAGGATTTTTAAATCTGCATAACAGGTACTTAATAAATTACCTCTGGATTTCAGAAAATTACTAGAATAATCAATATAATCTAAGAAGGAGGACTTTTTGTATTTACTTGCCTAACACACTAACCAGAAGGAGCTTTTGCAGAGCTGAGCTCTTTTAATGAAATTATTCCTTTGTTTTCATACACAGAATAGCTCTACTAAAAGTGTGCTAATTTATTTTTAGCTTCCATTATAATTTCACAGCAGATCTGTAAAGTCAATCATTAAATGAAAATACCATCTCTCGCCCCAAATACCAGCATTTACAGGTCACACCCATGTTTGTGAGATAAGCCATCGATGGAAGACAGGTTCTCAATGTAGCTGAGAACTTCCAGCAGTAAATCCAACAAAGACAGCAGAGGGGAAAAAAAAGAAATTAAAAAAAAAAAAAAAAAAGAGAAAAGAAAAAAAAATTTTTTATATATATATTGAAAAAATCCCAGAGCTACTATGGCACAGGCTGCACCTTTTCACAGAATGTGCAAGGGGAGACAGTGCTGGCAGCCTGCCTCTGGAAAACACTGGAAAGGAAGAGGCAGGGTGTACAAGCGTCACCTGTCTGTTGCTGTGCTCTTTGACTGTGTTTTCGGTAGAGCCTGTTCAGTGTATGTGAGGGGTACCTTCCCCCCACAACCTCCCCGCCCAAGTTGGTTGGTTTTGTTTTAGTGAATTCTTAAAAATTCAGTTTTAAAAGGCTTTGGCACCAGCTGAGGTTAAAAGTGAGATATGGCAAAAGGGCAGAGAAACAGGTAATTGAGCAGTAGTAAGCGTGGTATTCACCTACTCTGTCTTCCTGGCTTCACAAACTAAACAAGAGTTTTTGGTTCTTGTCATTAGGCAGATGTGTGAAAAACCACAGTGTGCAAAAGATCTTTAGCATCCATAGTGTCAGCTGAAGAGGTAGTTGTAAACTCTTCTCAAAACACATACTGTCTAGACCCAAGCTTATCTGAGGAACACACTAAAGACCTCATGGATAGAGGAGGAACATCTCTTCTCCCATAGAGCAGGAGACCTCAGCCTCCACACGGATAGATTTCTTCTGTGTCAAAGATGTGTCTTCTTCTGTCCCTGGATGTGTTTAAGAATAGGGTGGATGATCTACTTGAGGATATGGTTTAATGGGGATTAGGGATGGTTGGACTCGATGATCTCTAAGGTCTTTTCCAACCTAGAAATCTATGAAATCTATGAAATCTATGAAATCTATGAAAGTAACGGCTATCTGAGGAATTTCTAGAGTTTAAAGATGGACTTTGCAGCATGCTTAGGTGACTTGGTTACATCTCTCATCAACTTTCACTAGAATTTTGAGAATTCCAATAGAACCATTCAACAGATTACAAAGCCCTATGATCTTTTCATGTAATTCTAACTGAATTACAATCTTGCAGAAGTTCCTTGCTCCAGCAAAATGAATTATTTGCTTACTCTTCAAGTGCCATCTTGGTCTTCTAATTTCCTTGCTGCATATATTCTACCACATACACTGCTCTCTCTTGGATTAGATTTCTGCTTTTGGAAGAATTAAGACCGGCTTAAATTTAACTCTTCCTAGATAGCCATCTTACTTTTCTTCTGCTTCTATTTTGATTCAAATTGCTCCTGACTTCTTGCTTTATGTCTTCCATAACACTGCTCTGGTTCAGTTATTAACTTTCATTCTGAAGCAACAAATTTTAGTTCCTTATTTTACTTGCGAGCTTTTCTGAC